GTCTGTCTGTCTGTCTGTCTGTCTGTCTGTCTGTCTGTGTGCCTGTCTGTGTGTCTGTGTGCTCATATGCACGAGTGCAGGTGCCCACAGAGACTAGAGGCTCCATTTCCTCTGGAGTTGGAGTTACAGGTAGTTGTGAGCCACCTTATGTAGGTTCTGGGAACCAAACTCAGGTCCTCTGCAAGACCAGAATGAGCTCTATACCGCTGAGCCGTCTCTCCAGCTCTCTGCTCTCCCATTCTCAGTCTTATGAGATGAGGGGTTTCTGGAGAGTGACTCCATACTGCCACAACCTATTTTAAAGCAGAATTCCAAGTGGCTATTTATAGTTGGTGATATACTTGGCAAGACCCTCATCACCTGCATAAGGCCTTTCTGGCTGGTAAGTCTTCCCATTCAAAAAAACAGTTACAAACTAGGAAGCTGCTTGGTGAACACATAATTCAAACAAAGAAGTTGGATAGTTACAATCAATTTTTCAAGAAAAAAAAATCCAATGTAGGTACCTGGTACATTGCCCTCCTTTGTGTTAGGAACAATTCTGTCTAAAGATGTGCAGAGCCAGCATCCAGAAATATACAAGGCTTTTCATGGCCATCCCTAAAAACATGCTGACATGTATCCTCTCCTCCACCTAGCTCGCTTTATTACTCATCTTAAGCCTTATGCCACTCACATTGCTCTTCCCCACACTGTAGTATGTCTTCCTCTCAGTAGCAATTTACTGTTGTCATTTCTTGTCACCTTAACATCACCACTTCCCAGTAGACATACAGGACACTGTTCACTGCTTCAAAATTCACTCAAGCCTCAGTCCATCAACATTTGTACTCACCTTCCCCATCTCATGAGTAGTTCGAGTATCTTCTAGTGCCTTTACTCGATCACCAAAAGCTGCTCTGTTGTTTCCGTGCAGAAGGCTGGGTGCTGCTCAAAGGCAGAGAGAAATAGCTGCAAGTCTGAAGCAGCACCAGTTATACTTGTGAACCAGACATCTAAGCAACTCACTTTCAAAGACAGGACACCAAAGCTTAGGAAGACAAACAATTCAATAGAATCGCATGTATAAAGTACTTGGCCCATAGTAGGCCTGCAGCAACCATTTGTAAAAAGAGGAACAAATTGTCCAGGGTCTCCCAAATAGTAAATGGCAAAGGCAAAAATCCCAAGCCTGCTTGTCTCCCCTTAAACACAGTGCTTCCAAGGTCATGTCAAATATTTTGCTTTTCGTCCTTGGCTTTATGAAGTATTTTGTGAGGAAGAACAGCAGGGACTGTGTGTGCTCGTCTTTCATTGTGAACTGGAACTTGTTGACTCCAAGGTCAGAGTAAATTTCCTTGAAGCTCTTCCTAAACCCCTGCCTTGGAGGCCTTTGTTTGATTAAATTCTGCCTTTTATTATCATCTGTACATCCTTATCTCCCTTTTCTGGCTTCTTGAATGCAAACCGTTGAAGTGTAAACTTGTTCATCTTTCTGCTGTCCACAGTCAGTGCCAGCATAGAGCCTTGCACACAGTAATGTTTAACACATTTCTGGGGACTTGAGCTGAATTCCACTATCCTTAACTTCTTCGATGTTTGCATGTCCTCTAGTTACTGTCTACAATACTAAGAGTTTCTTATACCACAAGCCCAGGGAAACTAAACATGCTAGTCTTAAAATGCAATAGAACTGACTCATCTTAAAACTCCATTCCTCTTTCTTCACTACCCTCTACTTCCAAAGAAGTCTACTTCCATTACTCCTTTATTCATTTGTCCCAACTTATTTGTTGACATCTAGATACTAAAAATGCCACAGTCCAAACACTGTCACTACCTTACAGAATTTGTCAACCTACAGCTGGAGAGGACCCCAAAGGCAACATTAAAACCAGTGTGGTACACACACCTGTAACCCCCGTTACTCAGGAAGATCAGAAGTTCAAGGTCACCTCAGCTACAAAGTAATTTATAGCCAGCATGTACTAGATGAGACCCTGTCTAAAACGACAAAACAGGAACTTGTAAATCTAACAGAAATTTTACAGTAAACACAGAATAAAATAGTTACCCATTGCAGAAAGTGCTAAGAAGGAAATAAACAGATGATACAGAGGTTAAGAATGATCTCTGTGGGGAAGTGAAGGAGAGGCTTGAAGGATGAAAGATGTGACGAACACTAACAAAGAGCTCAATTCCAGCCAGAGGGAACAGTGTGTGAAAAGAGCTGGCCACACTCCAGGAAAGGGAAAGGTGCCCGTGTGCATGTGTGTGCCATGGAGCAAGGAGAATGGGCAGGATGAGCTCAAGAAGAAGGGGAAGTGGGGGGGGGAGGCTTAACAAGTGCAGGCCACATAGGATAGAGGAATGAGTAGCTATCCAACTACACTGGAAGCCAGGGTCTTTTTCAGCAGAGCGGTAGTGGTCAGGTATCAACAATAAGGATGCGTCCTGAGCAGTATGCCAATAGATGATTTCATGACTGAAAACAATATATAGAAGGTGCTTCTACAAATACCTGCTTGGTACAGGTCAAACACTCCACACGGCCTCTTAATGCAATTGACAGATTCAATAAACATGAGACAGATGAGGCGTCTGCTGCTACAACACAACGCACTGTGGAGGTTTTGTTGTTGTCATTTTGTTTTGCTTTGATTTTGCTCATCTGTTTTTGAAACAAGGTCTTGCTATATAACCATATGTGTGACCTGGTACTCACTATGTCGCCCAGCCTGTCCTCAAACTTCCAGCTATCATCCTACTTCAGCCGCTGGATTTATAAATAGATGCCACCAAACCCAGCTAGCATACTGTTTTACAGTGCTTTTAAAAACTAATTAAGTCGATTTTATTCTAAAATATAGTCACGGTAAGGGTGCTTGCTGTCAAGTCTGATGACCCGAGTTCAATCTCTGGAACCCACAGAGTGGAAAGAGAGAACTGACTCCCAAAGGTTGTCCGTTGACTTCCAGGTACACCCTGTGGCACATCATGCACACACAGAGATGAATAAATGTAAAAAAAATACATTATTATCATTTAAATGTAGGTATTGTTTGTAATTGTGTGTGCTATGCTTTTATATGACTGGTAGCTCAGGGCTTGTTTACTCTAGGTCATAAATGCGTGAGCAATGTGTTGTCCACAACATGACAGCTATGGTATCACCAGTCAATAGGAAGATTCAGTTCCACTTTTTTTTGTCTGTGTTCATGTGTTTGTATGTACCTATGTGTGTGCAGATATGTGCACGTGTGCTCATGCATGTGGAGGGCCGAGGTCATTGTTATGTCTCTTTGTCCATCACTCTTTGCCTTGTTTTTTTGTGATCAGAGCTCTCATTGAACCTGGAGCTCAATGGAGCTCAGCGATTCATTCAGACTGGCTTGCTAGTGAGCTGCAGGGATCTGCCTGTCCTCATTTCCCCACTGCTGGAATTACATGCCTGTGCTAGCCACCACACCCTACTTTAACATGGATGTGGAGATCTAAATTCAGCTGGTTGTGCTTGTGCAATCATTTTAACAATTGGGTCAGTCCCAGTTCCCTTTAATTTTCTTTCTTTTTTATTCTGGGGTTGAGCCCAGGATCCTGTGCATGCTAAGCAAATGGCTTATACTTGACTATATATCTCCAGCCCAGTTCCACTGTAATCTTAGAGTATGGCTGTTATTCAGAGACATACAGAGAGAGACAGAGAGACTATAACAGACCAAAGAACCGTTATGCAGTACATGGGTATAATCAAATTGACATTTTCAAGATAATACCAATTGTTTGCCATTCAGATTGTATGGACTAAAAGTGATGCAAAAATTCAGTGTAGTGATCCAGGTGACAATCAATGAGGGGCTAGGCTAGGGTGATAGGAATAGAGGCAGGAAAGGCAATACAAGAAACATTTTGCTAATTGACAGGTTTTTTGATCATTTGCATGGGTAACATCTTTGTTTCATTGCTTAGGACATTTGACTCTGTGCAGGCTCTCAGTATGTATCTATAGTAGGCCTTGAACTCACTATGTATACTAGGGCTAGTTTGCAGCAGTTCTGCCCATGCCTCCCAAGAGATGAGATTGCAGGTGTGTACCACCATTCCTGCTGACAAAAGATAATATTTGTACTACATTTGAACCCTGATTTCCAGGGCTCTTATTCTTATTCTCTACATCTACTTTTGGCAACTTTGCTGCCTTTGTGGCTTCTTCTGTATGGAATTGATCACCAAGTCCAAACCCTATATTTTTTCCTGTACTGCTTTGTCCTGCCACGTCCAGCATGCTCTAGGTTATTGTAACTGCCTGCTAGCTGGCCCTATGTCTCCTTATAGCCTTGCAGTGTTGGTCATCTGTAATGGCATCATTTCCACCATGCCTCTACTAACTCCCCGGCAACTCCCTGCTCATTTGAATGGGAATCCAGACTTGATGCAGTGGCTTCATAGTACTTCCTCTGCTGTCTTTACCTAGCTCTTCCTGTCTGCTCTTGTTACCAATTTTAATAGAGCCCACACCTTTAGGTTCTTAGCTTCTTTGCAGCTCTCCACCCACTAAACCAGCCATCCTGTACAGGAAATTCCGTCTTTCACTTCATAAAAAATTTTAAATGATGAAAAACTTAACAAATCCCAGAAATGCTGATCAAGAAAAAGGTAAGAAAGAAAGAAAGAAAGAAAGAAAGAAAGAAAGAAAGAAAGAGGTAAGACCAAAAGCATGTCACTAAAAAGGAAGGAAATTGCTGTAGGTGTAGCAGATGCAAATTTAATAAGAGAAAGCAAATAAACTTTAAAGTGGGACTGAAGAGATGGCTCAGTAAGTAAGGTGCTGGCCACACAAGCATGAGGACACAAATTCAATCTCCCACACCCACATAAAAGCTGAGCACCTATAATCCCAGTGCACACTAGGGGAGACAGGCTTGCTGGTCTTTTTAGTCATACTGGTAAGCTCGAGGTTCAGTAAGAGACCTTGTCTCAAAAACAAGATGGAGAAAAATTGAGGAAGACATCAGTGCCAGTCTTAGTCCTCCACATGTTCATACATATCTGTGTAAGCACATAAGGACATACAAATTTAAACCAAATAAACACATTCCTAGAAACATCAACTAGCAAAATGGTTCAAGAGGAGGTCGAAAACATGCATACTTCTATATCCACCAAAATTCAATCAGAAGCAGCACATGGTGCCACATATCCAGAGTCCTACCACTTAGGAGATGGAGACGGGAGGATCAGGTGTTCAAGGTCAGCTTTAGCTATTAGCAGTTTTGAGGCCTGGGCTTTTTCCCCCTCAAAAATAGAAAGAAGTTCAGTCAGTAATTTAAAATATTTTTACAAGGAAAGAACAGTATGTGTGGATAGTTTAACTAAACAGTCAAAGATGAATTAATTCCAGTCTTACAAAAGTTCTTCCAAATAGTAAGAAAAAACGGAGCACCTCCCAGTTCATTCGATGGAATTAATATAATCTTAATACCCAAACCACACAAAGACAGTATTAGAGTGTGCCTACCTTGAGGTACAGAGGAGGAGGAGAGGGTCTGGAGCAGAATGAATGACAGGAAGAATAGTAGGTGATGAGGTTTTACCGAGTCCGAGTCGCGGGTATAGGTCTTTTAAGGAAACTGAATGAATTTGACAGGATTGGAGATAAAACCAGGCTGCTGTTTCAGAATGGTCATTGGAAGAGCAAACGTGAAAGGAGGGAGACTAGTTAAGAGGCTGTTTCAAGCTCTCTTTGCCACATCTACTGTGAAAATGAAGCCCATTCTCAGCAGTCAGACTGCCGACATTCCAGGAAATGTTGACAGAACTCTAAAGGGAGGTACAGTTATTATGAAGGGCCCCCGAAGGAACCCTCCAGAGGGACTTCAGTCATATCAATGGAAATCTGAGTTTCCCTGGAAAGAAAAAAGAGGTTGTTGGTTGACAAATGATGGGGA